CGGTGAAACGCATAAATCTCTTAGATCAAAAGCGGTGAGATGCCGGGCATGGTTAAAATCACCTACAATAATATGCAGATTGTCCTCAAGCAGTTTATCCCCTAGGTACGATTCTCGGCTCCTCGAGACTATGTGAGGCTTACCGGGTGACGAGTAAGGCGGAACAGCTGGATGTGATGAAACGAGACGATGGGATTATGGGAGATCACTTGTACATATGTCCTCTTCGGATGGTGATTTAAAGCAGGCAACAGCAACAAAACATCCTGATCCCTGAAGCAAGCACGTTCAAATAGTATTGGTGCGGATTATCGAGCCTTGCACTGGCTCTCCTCACGACGATTACTGTCCTCATTGGTCCAACGCACAAAACTATGAAGATAAGACTTGGGATCATCCCGTCCACGACGCCAAGCTTAATACCGCAGGGGGTTGAAGATTCAAAGGGAAAGGGGTTTCAGTTAATGTCGCTTCCCATCCCCCGGTTGTTTGGGTGCTTGTCAAACCCTGAAATGATTCCGAAAGAGGGAACTTTACGGTATCTCGGACGTAATACACTTCTGGATAATACTAATAGTTCGCGGGAACTGAGCGCAATTGTTGGTCGTTAAATTTTTGTTTGCAGGTCACGCATCACACAGAGATCGTATTGCGCACTTTCAACCGTCACACAAGCAAGCATTGTTGGCTCGATCGTGCTTCAGCTGTTTTGATCTCATGGTATGCACAACCCAGAACGTGAGCGATTACGCCACTTTAACAATGCACACACAGATCGAAACAAGAGTAAAATTGATGCCTACCAGAAGTATATATTTTTTTCTTTCAATAGTTGACTTTTTCTCAACTGATATGAGGACCCCATGATGACGATCACCTGGGAAGGAGTGACAGCCAATATCATTAACTACCGGCAGAAGGAAAACCATCTCTAGTCTTGATTTGGAACATATATTTGGTGTGGATGTAACTTACAAACACCATTGAGCAACAATTGGGGTCACCGTTGAGCGTTTCAGTTTCTACAGCCATTAACCATGCACCATCGTGCACCGGTTTGGGTTGCTGCCCATTTGGATGAACATGAGAGAGAAAAACAAGAAAGGTTAAAAGTAGGATCAAACAGAAAATGTAAGATTTCATTGCACTAATTTTGCAGAGAAACTGACAACATGCACGAACGCCACTGTTTACTACACTCAGCCATATCACGCAGTGTCTTTAACCATCGTTTATGGTCATCCCGAGGTCCCCATCCAGGGATCCTAACGGGACTTATGAGACTCACACTGCTGGTCAGGGTTTTCATATCCTCGTGCCAGGTCTGAGCTTGACCTTTGNCCTCGGCGAACATCGCTCGCCGTGACAACCTATCTAGTAACATGCGTAACACATGCCCCAACCAACGTAATCTATAGAAGTCGCTGAGCGTCTGTTCAATTCAAAAGTGAGTTATGCAAAGGCTCCAATGTGAATCCAGTCCCGTGAGGAGGGCTCAAGCTTCTCTTTCCCCGAAACCGAAACTTATTAAACTTAGACTGTCCGAACACTCCGCATGAAATTGCTCCACGGACCAGACGAACGATCGCAACGAGTTGGCGATGTAGGAGGGGAGAGCGACGCGTGTGTGTGTAGATATTTGCTTTTTGTTCCCCGGAGTAGCACTGCGGACAGAGAGAGAGCTCTGTGAGCGTATATCCTCCTCTATGTAATCAGTTGCACCGTACCGATACCACACAACCGGACTGAGCCCCATAATCAACGTTCGCCGTACACATGAGTTAAACGGTGTGGATTACTATCACCACGGTCCGTGGGTCGTGTGTTTTGTGTTTGAATCGGACCATGAACATCGTCATCGCTAAGCCATTGAAATAGCAAATTATAGCGCTCACTCACGGATGCTGAAAAGTCCAGTTGTGACTTGAATGAATCAATGCTTGGTGCACAAACAATTCGAAGTGGAAGAGACTTCCAGGTATTACAAGCTCTGAGGCTCAAAGATTGACACCCGCAGTTCAGCCAGTTCTTTTGGAGCAAAAGTTTAAACAGATGTCCTCTGAGGTGACCATTTACAAGTAGTCTAAGTAGAGTACTACACAGGTGGTTAGCTTGATGTAGTATTTGATCGACGGAATTCAGATGAATAGAGTCCGAGAATTTGCAGCCATTCACCGCAGTTCTTAGATTATAAACCTTTGACCTTTTTTATTGCTGTTCTCTACGGACGTTTGAGTGCCTTTTGGTCGCGAATCAGCCATGGATTCCAAGCTTGTATAGCATACTGGATGTGTAGTCTAATATATGCCGATAGAAAACAGGATAGTAAGTCTGCTTCGAGTGATCCAAAAACAGGTTTTATTAATCCAACGTGCTTTGTGGCCTTGTATGACGCTCTTGCGCGATGTGTAGAACATCCTAGATTCTCACGAACGATAACTCCCATGTCCTTTTCGTTTGGAGAATAGCTGAGTTCCAAGTAAGTATGGAAAGCGACCCCTGTGGTGCAGCAATAAAATCTTGCATTTTTCAACGTTGAATTCGATGTCATTAGTGATGAACCATTGTCAAGCTGCGTCGAGAGTTTTCTGCAGGGTTTCATAATCTTCAGGATGTACCGTCCTCCATGTTTTGGCGTCGTCAGCGACTAATAATGCCTTTCCTCCAAGGACAGCTGGTAGGTCGTTTATGAATGCTAGGAGAAGGTACGGACCGAGTAAGGATCCTTGTGGAACTCCACGGACAGCCTCAATCACTCCCGATAGAGGGCCATTAACTCGAACCGATACGCTACGTTGTTGCAGAAATTCCTCAATTCAGTTAAAGAGCAGTCCTCGAACAAAGTAGTTATGGAGCTTTCGCAGCAGTATATGGTGGTTAACCATGTCAAAAGCTTTGGAGAAGTCTAAGTAGACTACGCCGACTGCCTCCCCGGAGTCAACTGATTTTGTCTACTCATCTCGTACAAGTAGCAGCTTTGTGGTGCGCGAGTGTTTTTTTCGAAACCCGTGTTGGGTCGGCAAAAGAATTTCATACTTCTCGAAATGCTCCAACAGAGAATCAGCAACAATTGATTCCGTTACTTTTGACATAACAGAAAGAAGTGTAACTGAACGGTGATTTGCAAGATCACTTGTGCAGCCACCTTTTTAAATAGGTGTATAATAAATTTCATATTTCTGTGCAGCTCCCTTGGATTTTGTTGGGTCACTAACCCGTTTGACAATGGTTTGGCATCAAGGTGACTCTAAGCCTGTCGGATTCCATCCCGCAAAGGAAGAAAAACGAACATGATACTTGAGCAAATCGTTCACCCTCCATACACACACACACCGCGCGTGATTTCCACACCGAGTTTCTTTGACTATGACACTACTTAATTAATAAACTTACGACTCCAACCTCAACCCGAGTATATACAGCACTGTTTAGGGCATTGCGTTTGGTCCCATATCAGACGGGTTATCGGTATACATCAGAGACTCATTGATCGGCCTTATGCGGATTTGCTTGCTAGGCCTTCTCCTTCTGCCCCCCCCCCCTCCTTTTGTCCAACTTCCCACCTTTGGAATCAAACCACGGATACCTGCGTGTTCATCAGCTTGTGTTTTTGTTCAGCATATAGTCCTTTGAACGATTGCAAAACTACAAGAACGTTCCTTTGTGTTGTGGACCTCAGCTTTGATGTTGCCTGTCACTTTCTTTGACACTCGGAACACCCTGTTGTCTGCAAAACTGCAGTATACCTACAGAGGGTGTGTGTGCGTTTGTGTCACAAACGTGCTCCTGTGTGCGAACAGTACCAGCTGCATGTGTTAAGTGGTAACGCAGTGGTTTAGTCGCTGTCACCGGCGTGCTCTGGACCCTGTGGTCCGAGGTTCGAGCCCCACCACAGCCATTCAACTTTGGTGGTAGACAACTATACTGTCGTCCGATTCATTACCACGCCTGATCTAGCGGGGCCTTATGTGGTTCGCCACTCCAAGTTCCGGAGATCAGGTTCCCGGTTACCGTCCCTGAACAGCAGGTCCTCGTGACTATGGGGTCTACTCCGTCTGTTGTTCATCACACACTGGTGTGTAATAAAATAATGGAATAGGATGTTCACGAAAGGCTGGGGCGGGAGTGGTGTGTTGCTCATTCAGATTTTGTTTAACACACATCCAAAACCTGATCCGTTTGACGATCGAAAATCCCATAATTGCCAGTCAGCATTCTGGTTCATGCACCGCTCGCGCATTGAGATGACTACCATTTGGGATCAGAAGTCAGCGACTCAGTTCAGTTCCCCGTTTATCGGGCACAAAATTGTCAAATTTCTGTGTAAGACTAATTATTTGTCGCGGTGAATGGTTGATTAATTTCTGTCGTTGCAAAAGAGTTCTCTCCTCCCTCCCCCCCCCCTCTATACACACATGTCTGTGTGCGTGTAGATCGTTAGACTCTCGATTGACTCATACACGTTGCGCTATCCTTGGTCTCATTGCTCGACCATTCATTCACAACAGGAATAATTAGATAGGTATCAGTGAAACCCTCAGTTTTACTCTTGGATGCACTTGATCACTCGGAGCGTGCGATTGAGTACGGTGAGATTCCGGACTGGCACATCAATATGCAAACTGATGGCTACAAACACCTGCATACGCACTTGCACATTATTTCTACTACGACTACAGGGCCAAGATTCACACTGGTTTGTTTGTTGACCATGAGCATTTATCGATCATTTTCGTTTAATGTTTTTTTTCTCGCACACACGTTTATTCTCGCCAAACCCCTTCCCTATCGAAACACACGTACACATACAGTCCGGTTGCAGTCGTCCCGGCTTCAAACCCGAGAGCATCAGGAAAAGGTTGTTTTTCAGATTGTGAGAAATACCGGAGACCAAAACGAATCTATTTTTCATGATATTGCTTTTTGTCATGTACATTTTTTTTAAATTCTAATCAAAAGAGATACAAACTTGCATATTTTGTTCAGTATCACAGTACTCATAAATTTATTGAGAACCGTGGAGTTTTTATTGCTTCATATCCTAGAAGGTTCTTTCTAATCCCAGTTTGTGTTGACCATTCCATACGCCCCCCTCCCCTCCCCTCGCCACCCGCGGTCCTCTTCTACAATGGGGGCATTTCCACTCACAGGAGAGTTGGATTGATACGCGTTGTGTGCCGGCTGAGCATACTTACTTGGTTCCGCTGTCCTATCAGTTAGCGCACTGGCTCAATCCGGGATTGTGGCTTCAACCGCCAGGCACTCCGGGCACAATCGATCTGACCCCGGACACCCCAATGTCCGCGTATAGTGGTAACAGTCTTTGGCCTACTGCACAATTGGCTTGGGCTCGTCTACACGTGCTCGAATCCGTCCCCGGTACCGTTCTAGATACACGAACAGGAGCACAATTGAATTTGGGTGAACTGGCCAATCAGGCATGCGGAGCAGTGGTACAGGTGAGTCATTTTTCTCAGTGTCTGTCACAACCTCGAAATTAACGTTTTCGACTTGTTTTCTTTTCAGGTCAGTTTTTTTTCAGTTTGTACCATCATAAACAGTGCACTTCCGTGCGTCGAATTTG